AAATTTATAACTTACTAGAATTCTGAGTTCCACAAGGACAGAAATTTTTGCCTCTTTTGGTCACTGCTGTACACCCAACCCTAGACCAGCACCTGACATATACGTCATTGGCATTTAATAAACATATTTAGCTGAATGAAGTAGTTATAACTAGGGACCCAATTTTCCTAAAATGAATAAACTACATGAGAAGCGAGAGATCTCGTATATTCAAGGCTAAAGTAGGATATAGTACAAGATTCCATTTTTCCCACCTTCCCTTCTAGATAAAATATTGAGTGATTTTTGTTTGGTGTTTTAAAAAACATGTTTGTAACACCTGTACCCATGGATGGGAACTTGAACACCTGGCCCTGCAGAAGACAGGAAGGTCTTACCTCAATTTTTAGGCTGTCATGTTCTACTGTAAAATCAAGTCTGGAAGGAGCAACGTCAAAAGTAATCCTCTCCCCTCTATAGAATGGAACCTGGAAGGAAGAGTCTATTAATTTATAAGGGCAAACAGCATGATTCAACCATCAATATCAATAATCGATTTAGCAGCCCACAAATGACAAGGGTTCAAGAAAGGCCAAGAGAAACTATTAATCATAATTGCTGCCAATTTTAAAAGAGGAAGCCCTGTACTTTTTGCAGTTACTACTGAGGGGGCAGTCTCATCATTACCCACTGCCATGGGGTTGATTCTGACTCAAAGCAACCCTACAGGACAGAAAAGAATTGTCCCACAGGGTTTCCAAGGCTGTAATCTTTATGAAAGCAGACTGCCACATCTTTCTCCCATGGAGTGGCTGGTACGTTTGAACCTCCGACTTTCTAGTTAGCAGCCAAGGGTTTTAACCACTGTGCCATATAACTGTTAAAAAGAATGTCCACAGAACTGCAATCCAACCATTTGTTCCTTTAACATCCAAATGGCATCACCTGTTGCTGTGTCATAAAAGCCCCAAACATAAGTGGATAGAAACATGCTTCACTCACCACAGTATAGCCCCCACTTGGCAAGGAATAGAAGGAGAACGAGCCATCTTCTTTGGAGACCACGTAACACAAATACATCAGAGTCTCATCTTGGGGCTGGAACCCATGTACTGGAGAGACATTGCAGCCCAGGACATCCTATGCCAAGAAAAGAAGGGACTTCTTGAGCCAGCCACCCAGAAGGACCGAGTAGGTGAACTGGTGGGCTCAAGACTATAGTCGCAGGGGACATCAAGCTCAACTGGCATAACATACTACACAAAACATTGTTCTACCTCCTACTTTGGCAAGTAGCAACTGGGATCTTAAAAGCTTACAAGCAGCCATCTAGATGCAACAATGGATCTCTCCTCGTCCAGAGCGAAAAAGAATGAAGAAAACAAAAGATTCATGGAAACAATTAGTCCTAGCGACTGGTATACCATGCGATCCGCAGCCTATACGACTATGAGACCAGAAGAACTAGATGGTGCCCAGCTACCACTGTCAACCACTTGGAGGGGGATCTATGTACAAGATCCTGGATAGAGTGGGAGAACAATGTGGAACAAAACTCAAAATCATTTGGGAAAAAAAATGGGGGACCAGGTTTGGTGGTCTGATAGAGCCTGGTGGAAACACTGAGACTATGGCCCCTAGCTGCCCTTCAGGTCTGGAATTGAACCCACACCTGTGGCTTCCAGCCAAACAAAAGACAGGCATATGAACTGAACATTTACCTGAGGTGGATGTACTCCTTGGAGAGAACAATCATGGGAGAAAGAAGAGCTGTTTATGCAGAGGAAGACAGCTCAGGGGGCAGGAGTGCATAAAGGGATGGACACAGGGAAGAAATAACTATCAGGAGGAAGTGGGAGGGGAGCTGTTGCATTTTGGTAAATTGTAGTCAATGTCATGAGACAAAGTATACGTGAACTGCTACATGGAAAGTGAATTTGCTCTGTAAATTTTCACCCAAACCATAATTTAGAAAAAAAAAAAAAGTGACTTCTTTTTCCACTCATATGTTCTGATCATCTAACAACCACACCAAAGGAAAACTTTTATATCACAAAATGTGTATTTCTGAAATGCAGAACATATTAGTATACATAAAAGGAACAGAAATCTTTATACTCAATTTGGAAAGTTAAAAAATTGGCAGTCTTCTTGGAAAAAAATGACCTAACTGTTCTTCTCTACAATGAGTCACCATTCTCCAGAAAATGAAATAGGTAAAGTGACTAGTCTAAGGTCACAGCTAAAAAGGCAGATCTGGATCTAATGGAACCTAGGTCTATTTGATTTGAACTCCTATGCACATTCCACCAAACTTTACTGCCTCCCATTGTAGATCATTCTATTTCCTGTGAGTCAAATGAAACACCAAAACCAAATCCGTTCCATCAAGTCAATTCTGACTCAGGGTGACCTCTTGTGTTTCAGAGGAGAACTATACTCCACAGAGTTCTCAATGGCTGAAGTAGACTGCCAGGTCCTTCTTCCAAGGTGTCTCTGGATGAATTCAAACTGCCACCCTTTCGGTAATAGCTGAGCACTTAACCATTTGTGCCACCCAGGAACCCCCAGAATACCATGTTGTCGATGATGTTTGCCATCAAGTCAATTCTGACTCATGGGACTCCCATGTATGCACAGCAGAACTGTTCCACTGGGCCTGAATGGCTGATATTAGGCTTTTTCCCTAAGGTGCCGCTGGGTAGCCTCTAACCCTCAACCTTTTAGTTCATAGCTGAGCACATTAACCGTTTGCACCACCCAGGGACTCCTAACCAAGACACATAAGTTCTTAAATGTTAAGACCATATGTTAAGACTATCAACTTTAACCTGCATTTAAAACATTCTTAGCCCATGCCCCCACCCCTACACATGCATGCGCGCACACGCATGCACACACACACACACACACACACACAAAATCTCTTTTGTCCTTTACTTGTCTTTGCTTACCTCTTTGGTTACAAAAGAAGAAAACAGAAGAAACTTCACTCCTTTCATAGGCTCCCCATCACTTCGGACCGAGCCAGACACATTATAACCAGCAACTATGAGGGGACTGGCCACATTGGCATTGGAGTTGGTTACACGTACAGTGGTACTAGCCTATAAAAGAAAAAGGCTTCACTTTTAAAGAGAAAAGCATTTGCAAAATGTCTGACAACATGAGGACATGCTTAAACTGAAATATTAAGTGGAGAAAAAGTAACATAAAATTGCATACACAGGATACTTTTTAAATGCACAAAATGAAGTGGAAAGAAATGGAGCAAAATAAAAATTTGCAATGATTTCCTCTACATGGTGAGATTTCATTCCTTTTATACTTTTCCACCTTTCCTAACTTGGTTTCTACTCCTTTATACTTTTCTATGTTTCAAATTTTTAGAATGAGCATGCTTTACTTTTTTTCCATGTTTGACAGTATATCCACATATTATTAATTTTTGTTTAAGTATACCTTACATACAGAAAAATATATGCATCGTAAGTATACAATGCAGTGATTGTAACAAGCTGAACATACATGTATCCAGCACCCCAGAAGCCCTCCTCTCATTCACTTCCAGTTACTATCAAGGGTAACTATTACCCTGACTTCTATCAGCATGATTTACGTTTATAACAATACAATTTTATATTAATAAAGTCAATTTCCTTTAAACATATAATTAACACACACTGTAAGTCTTAAAATTTATTCTATCTATAATGTGGAAGGTATTAAGTTTAAAATAAAACATAGGATGCTGTCCTGTAAGAGAAAAATGCTGAAAGCCAAAAGTCAGACATTATACAGATGCAACCAGATATGAAACTGTACCATCAATTATAAATACAAAAAATCTAGAGAGTAAAAACTGAAATACTGATTCTGATTCTCCTTTAACAAGAACTCACAACTAACATAAAAGTTAAGCTATCAAAAGTTCCTCTAGATCGTATTTCAAATGCTAAGAATTTTGCTTTCCCAGTTAAGTCTTTACTTAGTATATTTCCTCCGTTTTATTCATTTATTATATAAAATGAAAACCTGTAGCCAGCTAAATAAAAGCAGAAATATAATTCATGACCCTGGTGGGCCCCACATATCCCTTGCTCTCTTCCTAGGACAGATATCAGTATTACCAGGAACATGGCAGTTGCCCTGATGCAGTGAATTGCTTGATGTGGCCCTTCTAGCCATAGTCCTCCATTCTGTGATGTTTTGTAAATCTCATTATCCATGCCTGTTTGGGGTGGTGTGGTAGTTAAGGTCAGGTATCAACTTGGCTGGGCAGCTGGTAGTAGTCATTCCCTTTAATGACTGGCAATCGACTCTATGATGGGATTTAGGTTAATTCTGTTGGGGCAACACAGGTGGAATGTATCTTGAGTCCTGCCTTGCTGGAGGGTATAATTCAAATCACCACCCTTTGCTTCCCTGAGAGTATACCTACGAATCTCCTGGGAAGATTCGCTCTCCTCTTGCTCCGGCTTTGTGTCTTGGATCATCCTCATCTCACCCCTGGATTTGGGACAGCAGCCATCATCTGATCTGCTGATCGAGGTTCATCAAACCCCCAGAGTTGGGAGGATCTGCCAGACCTACTCACAGACCTGGGACTCACCAGCCTGCCAGCCTCCACCACTACTACGTGAGACGAACCCCTGGGTGTCTGTGAGTTCTGTGAGGCGTTACAGCAAAATACAGAACCCTAAGACTGGGGAAATTAGTGGGAGGAGGAGGAGGAGGAGGAGTTATTGTCTGAAATGATGGAGTGGCATGGTAGTTTGGACATTTGGGACATCTTTAACCTCCGCCTCATGGGGACCGGCCTTGTGCTTATCTTTCTAAGAGAAATCGTTCAAGCACCTGACCATGCATGTCTTCATGTTTTTCTACACCTGACTATATCCACAAATGGTATCATCATGGATATTTTTAATCATTTTATAAACAGTTTCATATTTCTGTATCCTTTAGCAACTTGCCTTTTTATTTCAGCTTTAGGTTTTTCAAGTAGTTATACTGATATATTTAGTTCTGGTTCATTGATTATTGCTGACACATAGAATTCATTCTATGACAAAACTATAATTCCATTTTCTTCAAGGACATTTAGGTTGTACAATTTTTTTTTCCTATGACAAAGCTCCCACAAACAGTCTTATACATTCTCCTTGAGCACACATATGAGAGTTTCTAGAATAATTAGTACATTTTATAGAATTCTATGTCAGAACAAAAAAACAGCAACAAACAAATCTCATCAGGCCCTTTTGGTACTGATTTAGTTGAAAATATCCATAGTTAAAAAAAGAAACCTAGTTAGCAGCCGAAAGAAAACAATGCCCTGAAAAGCCAAAACCAACATTAGCAACATCTGCTACTGTGAGGGAGTTTGCCATATAAATACTACCAAATTAAGCAGTAGCACCAGAGATAATAAAATTGTTTCTCCATCTACTTCCAGAAAAAAACATAAACTCAATTCATATTCTAAATCAGAAATCCCAACATTTGTTTTCAAACTCACACGTTTAGGCATGGTTACAAAAGTAACAGAAACCCTCACCTCCTTCAATGCCCAGGTTGGATGAGTTGCCAGAATTTCATAATCTCCAGGAAGAACTTTAAAAAATGCAAACCTAAAAAATACAAACTATGACTTAACATTCTCCTAATAAGCCAAGCACTTCTAATTTATGACTAATATTGGTAGCACAAGAAAATATTTGCATTACCACAAACTTGCCATTATCTGGTGAATTCTGAATGAATGAAACACAACCCTTTACTATATAAATCTGCATTACACTTACTGTATACAAGGAGATATATATGCATTTATAAGGTGCATTTACTGTATACAAGGAGATTCCTTGTGCTTACAAGGAAGGATTTTTTTCCCTTCTTCTCCCAGATTTTTGGCATAAAATCAGTCATTGTAGCTCAGCAGGGATTATAAAACATTCAAGCAAGTTTTGACAGAGGTGATAGGCAAGGAAAAGGGAAGGGGCATGTCCAGAGAAACCAGAGGGAAAGGAGGAGTCACGTGTAACAAATAGAGAGCAGATCAGATTAGCTAAGGTGCTCAAGATGATGCTGGTGATACAGGCAGGGCAAGTAACAACCTCTGAGTCCTATGGAAAAGAGCTTAGACCTATTATCAGAAGCAAATCTAGGCCATTCTTGGTTCTTACACAAACGACCCATGATGAAGCGAGTAGCTGACAAAGATAATAGCTATAGGCAAAACAAGACCAGAGTGAGATGAGCTGTTTTGGTTCTCCAGTGCTGCTGTGACAGACATACCACAAATAAATATAAGGCTTTAACAAACAGGGATTTATTCTCTTACAAGTTTAGCAGGCTAGAAATCTGAGTTCAACGTGCCAGCTCTAGTGGCTGGGTGAAGGCCCCTTAAACTTGGGCTTCAGCTCTGCTTCTTGCTCCCAACCCACTGAAGCTAGAGGCTTCTCTTAACTCAGACAGCTGCTGGCTGCTGAAGCTGACAAACCCAAGGTCGACAGGTAAAATGGTACAGTCCTAAAATTATCAAGCAATATGGCAGGCTACTAGTTCAAGTCCATAAACAGTCTCAAGATTGGCAGACAACATAGCAGATGACTGAGATGAAGATTCAGCCAGCTGCAGGATCCAGATGTGCCAAAAAGCTAGAGACCTTTCTCAAAGCTTCTTCCTATACAATGGAAGCAGACCACGTCCCTAAGGCAGCTACTCAGCTGCTCCAGTAGATTCCACCATGGAGCTGATTGCCAGTCTCATCATGGGGAGTAACTACATCCAGCTGCCCAGCCACTCAAAACCAGGCCCAAGTTGACACATAACCTACCACTTGAGCTGAAGTCTGGAAATGCTACTGCCAAGATTGACATTTAACCCTTCAAACATGCAAAGCAAAGCAAAAAAACCAAACCCATTGCCATCAAGTTGATTTCAATTCACAGTGACTCTATAGGATGGAATGGAACTGCCCCAGAGAGTTTCCAAGGCTGTAATTTTTACAGAAGCAGATAGCCACATCTTTCTCCCAAGAAGCAGCTGGTGGGCTCAAACTGCCCATCTTTTAGTTCACAGCTGAGCACTTAACCACTGCACCACTAGTGCTCGGTTCAAATTTGGAAAGTACCTGACAATTAGCTAATTCCAATGAAATGAACTGCAGAGATTATCTATTTTTTTTTCTCGTGGTGATAATATTTTATGAATTACTGCCTGCACTAACTGAATAAGGTTTGAAGGCTTCTCTGCTACTATAAAATTGAAATCACCACTGGATATGGTCTTAGTAATCTAATACAAGTAGTCCCCAAAATATGACATGGTCCCATTCCAGCAACTACATTCTGAGCAGTTCTGACATATGTCAAATATCTCCTTTCTTTTTTCTTTTAGCTTTTCATTATTGCCTTTTATTATCAGTATCTTTATAAATCATAACAATGAACATCTGAAAACGATGACATCAGCAAATTATGTGCTACAGCACTGTACAGAGCACATGCTATTAACAGTAAAATGTACAAATGGGAAGAAAAACAGATGGTCATAAACGCAGCTCATCGTAACTCGAATACATTGTAAGTCAGAGACTATCTGGACAAGTAGATGTTATTTCAAAATGAAAAATAATTTTAATAATAATAACTGATGACTTAATGACAAACTCATTATAAACTTTTATTTTGCCATTTGGTCAGTTTTGTATGACAGTAATGATTTGTTTTCAAAACTACCAGTTTAAATTATTCTGATATAAATCTTGACATATGTTAACATTTAAGCTACATGAATCCATTATATTTGACTCTGCAAGGTTCATTCAACAGCCATCACAGCTCTAACTACAAAATGTTTTTGATATATTAATGATAAAATGATTTTTAAAAATCGTAATTGAGATGGTGGACTAGACACAAGGACTGCACAGACGCTCTTCAACAAAGAAAAGGGAAACCAATTAACACAGACACAGAAGATAATCTTGGACCCCTGAGCCTTGAAGGGAAGGATACAAAAGTGGACTAAA